ATGGTGTTTGTAGGATGTTGATACGCACGAGAAGCATTAGCCTGATTACGGATCCCGTCTATTTCTGGGGGGGGGGGGAGGGGGAGAGCTGAGTGCTGAAGGGTGAGGAACGGAAGAGAGAGACTGGAAGGCCATGGTGGGGTGTGTGCGTGGGAGGGCTGGGTGGAGAGAGCTGAGTGGGGGAGAGCTGGGGGGGGGCTGGGGGGAGGGCTGGGTGAGCATCAGAAAACTGCTTAATAGCAGCCCTGAGCACCCATGTTTCCCAGTTTTGTTCTGTCCACTTTCTCAGCTCTTTGCCGCAGGAATTTAGAGAACGGATGAGACAGGGTGGCTGACCTAGAAGAGCTGATACCATTTATTTTTTAAAAACACATTTTGGGGCAAATAGGTTTAATAACGATGAGAACAACTGTGGACACAAGTCAGTCTTCATGCCCGGATCCTATTAAAACTCAAAGCCCCCGACATCTCTCCTCCCCGTGGGGAGCGCGTGGACACCCCAGCTGACCGCGTGGAGACCCGGGAACGCCCCCCGGGGCCCAGGTTCCCCGGACCCTGGGCAGCACGAACCAGCCCCTGCACAAGGCTTTACGCCGGCACCAACGTGCCGACCAGGAGGACCGAGGCAGCCACACGGCCACCCAGGGCCGTTCTGACGCAGTTCAACGAGCTGAGGTTCAGGCTTGTAAAACTTCGCTTTCTGCGTTTAGCTGTATTACTTTTACAGTGAAAAATAAGACAATTAATATAAAAATATGCGCACACGCATGTTCTGTACGTCCTATTCCGCATGTTTGGAGGCCTGGACGCAGGCCGACACCAGGTTTCAGAAAAGACAGAGACCTGACAGTCAGATCTCCGTGTTTTACCATCTTCACAGGGAAAAGCCCAGCGGAAACTCCCTGGATATTGAAATATCAAGTCCAGTGAATTAAGAAAACCTACAAGTTTCCAACTGGGGCAAATTTTCAGGAATTTCTTGTTATGACTCAACCAGAAATAAGCTGACAATTACAAAAAAAAGTCCTGGCAGTTCAAATCCTCCTGCTACAAAGTACGATCCCTCACACTCGAGTGCACTGTGAACGCAAAGCTGACCTTCTGCTCTCAGCTCTCTTATCCGCGTGCCCACGTGAACAGTGACTTCTCCTGCCCAGCTAGACAAACTGCAGTCATATATTTCATGTCACCTCAGCACGGGCATCGCAGAGGCAGACCACCTGCCGATTCACTAGGATCGCTTCCTCCTTCAGCCTCTCCCATCACAGCCCCGGGACTAGCCTCGAGGCAGAAACAAACCCGTGACAACAGGGAAGGTTTCAAGCACCTGCTGCTGTGCCCATCCCGGTAACAGAGTTCGTGTCTCGGAGCAGAAAGCTCAAGTGCAAGAGCGTCTAAGCGATTCCTCACGAAAGCCCCCGATTGTGAGCCAGAGCAAAACATGCCGCGTTTTGAACTGAACCCCGAGGAGGCCCCTGAACGGTTACAAGGAACCTCGTGAAACCACCTTCCCACTCGACCGTCCCGTAGAAAAGGACGCACAGACTCGTATGGCAGGAGGCGTGGATGCTCGGACGGCTGAGTTCTCCAATGAGGAGGAAACCAGGCAGTTTACTTACTTTGGTCCTAAATTCAGTGGAGGCTCCAAATTCAAAGAGAAATCGCACGACGTCGTTATGGCCTTGCTGGGCAGCGAAGAACAGGGCGGTGGTGCCTGACTGGGAGAGAGGCTGGTTTTAAAAGACGTGCGGCTACCCCTGGCCGGCCGCTCGCTGGTTAGAGCTCGTCCCAGTTTGCGGGCTCCAGCCCAGCCAGGGCGCCGACGGGAAGCAACCGACGAATGCATAGCAAGTGGAACAGCAAGTCAGTGCTTCTCTCTCTCTCTCTCTCTCTCTCTCTCTCTCTCTCACACACACACACACACACACCCCATAAATAAAAATTAAAAGAAAGACATTTGGTTAGGCTACATTTAGTTTATACATTTGCAAACAAAACAAAACTACATCCTTGCACATAAAACTTCTAGCCTAGGAAGGGGCCATGTTTGAATTGATCATACTCTTTGATCAGAGAAGGAAGGAGGCGAAAGGAAACTTCACTCCTGGCCCCGTGGAAAGGGTGGTGGACTTGGTCCTCCTCGCGGGAACCTGTGAAGGTGACCGATCTGGAGAAGACGCGGTTAATGAAGGGCTCTGAGAGGAGGCGCTCACCCCCGGGCCCTGGATCCAATGGCGAGCGTCTCCATCAGAGTGAGGCAGACGATGTCTAACCCAGAGAAGAGGCTCCGGCAATGTGACCCCAGAGAAGAGACTAGGGCAGTGATGGCGAACCTATGACACGCGTGTCAGAGGTGACACGCGAACTCATTTTTTTGGTTGATTTTTCTTTGTTAAATGGCATTTAAATATATAAAATAAATATCAAAAATATAAGTCTTTGTTTTACTATGGTTGCAAATATCAAAACATTTCTATATGTGACACGGCACCAGAGTTAAGTTAGGGTTTTTCAAAATGCTGCCACGCCGAGCTCGAAAGGTTCGCCATCACTGAACGGCTAGACTCTCAGCCACCCCCAGCAAACCGTGTTCTCAAGGGGTTTCGCGGACTGGCTGTGTGTTAATGCCCAACCACTGGGCCACACCGGCCGGGCGTCATTCTTATTCAAGTGCAAACCCTGACCTACCTCTCTCTGGAGGTTGATGTCCGCGCCCTGGAGCACGAGCTCCCGCACGCAGTCGATGTGGCCGGCGTAGGAGGCGACCATGAGGAGCGAGGTGCCGCACTGCGGGGAGGAGACGGTGAGCGTCAGGCCGTCGCGTGCGGAGGGTCCTGGCGAGGAGGCGAGGAGCCAGCCCCACCCAGGGCACCTCCGAGCTCGCCCCGCAGTGAAGCCTGTCTCTGAGCATCGCACACGGCAGGCTCGGCGGGGAAAGCCAAGTGGCCATTGCCGAGGCTGGAATTTTCAGTTAAAAAACCGACCCTTCCATCACCATCAGAAACGCAGCCCCACCGAGCCATGGTTCCCGCATCTGAAAGCAGCAGCGATGCAATGGCCTCATGTTAGGTCCATAACAGAGTCCTCAGCCCACACTGGCGATTCACGCGAAACGGGTTAAAGGAACCCGCTGGTCTCCTGGGCTGAGTCGTTGCCTTCACGCGGTTTAGGGCGGGAGGACGGGCACCGTGATGAGATGAGACTGGAAGACTCAGGCCCTGGGTCCAGGCGACCTTGTCGTGAACCAACGTTAAGGGCAGGTGCCTGCGACTGCGGTTTCACCTCATCTTCAACATGCACAT